CGAACTTACGCATAAAGTCTTGTGGGAATGATGCTAAGACCACCAAGAAGACCACCTCAAGCTTGCTGCAACTGGACAGTCCATGTACCCTGAACTGCCATGTAGATGCATCCTGTTGACTTATGGTTTTATCCCTGTATAGTGATTTTTAAAATGCATTTTAAGGTTATCTGCAAAATACCTTGAAAGGATTTGTATCCCAAAGAGCAGGTTTGATGGTGGTGGTGGTGGTGATCCATGCCCCAAAGCCATATAAGATAACTTTATAATCCCATTAGCATATATCTGTCACATCAAAGAAGAACCTAGTAAAGCAATTAAGCCACACTATGTGAAAGGTCAACAAAATAAAAACATGAAACCAACAGAAGTGGGGAAAACTCAAACCAAAGAGACGGGGGACTGCAGACTGTTTGCAAGGCTGCCCCACATCACCTAAAGAGAGGAACCACCTAGGAAAAAACCTGAGCCACATGCAGCCAGACCAACAGCATTCTGTTAAAGCCAACACCCAAGGGTTTTGACAATTAGAGAGCAGCTGGAATGGATCAAGGGACACTCAGAGATGAACTACAGTGGAGAAGCAACAGCCATATTTAGCTGATTGCATGTTAAGAATAGTTTTAAGATACGGTACAGGTCTGTCCTTTCCAGAGATTTTGGAGAATCATTTGTCAAGGGTACCAGTCATTCTGGAAAATTGTTTATCTAGGGAAACCTTAATTTACAGCCTCTGTAGCTTGGAGAGTGGAGGGAAAGAGATTTTTTTGGGTGAAAGAACCAACACTCCTTCTCCAAATGCCAGCTCCTCTTCTTCCATGGCTGCTTGCTAACACTTAAAAAGACAGGAGTTCTGATCACATATCTCATCTATTTTCACTCTCATTCTTAAAGGAATGAAACAAGAGGAGACATCCTCAAGCACAGGGCAAGAATAGTTAAATCCAACATATTTTGGAATAAGTCCTTCTTTGGAGGCACTGCAGACATAAATATAAGAATTAATGATAAAATGTTATATACTCTCACAATTTAAACAACCAAGAAAAGAACAAGTAAAGTGTTTATCCTTTGGACAGTTCCCATTGAAATACTAAAATATGTCCCCCACCCCCAGTTGTCTAGGAATCTATTCCTTCTGTATAGCCATATTAGGAGAAAGAAGCAATCCACTTCCCACATAAGACAGTTCCAGTATCCATATGAATTGTACTGCATGTGTACACTTGCTATTCATGTCATAAGCACTGGAATTATATGAGAAATAATAGAATTAGCACACATTAGTGGAATTCTCAGAAAAACTGCTAAGACCTGTTGTGTGATTGGCTAAGACCTAGAGATGTTTAGTTCATCAACAGATGTCAGGAATCACAGTCACAACAATGACAGGAGAAGCAGAACTTCAAGAACTGTGTATTTTAATTAATGTTCACCTCAGACCTATCTGGGATATACTGCCATTTGAGCCCACTGCTGCTAAAAAATGTTGTGTACTTCCCTGGAAATGAAGATGAAGGGATAATAAAAACCAAAACCAGGCAAGCCATACAGGAAGAGCCAATTTTTCCATCTCATCATCGGAAGCAACACAAGATAGACAGACATTCAGGCACACATGCACACGCGTGCGTGCACACACACACAAATGTTTGTAATTTGAAATGCAGGCCAGGACGCAGCCCTGGAAAAAATGTAGCCTCCACCTTTTCCATGGCACATCTTCAAAAGCATTTTTTAATTCCTTTGGTGCTGAGACATCCTAGGGCAAGACAGAGGTGTTGCCTGCTTTCGCTAGATGGTTTTGAACTGACTATTGCCAGAAGGGTGGTTTTGTCTTCTTATCCAGTTTCCATTCCTCTTGTGTTGTCTGGTTGGCACAAGAGGCTTGGCTTTGAGATCCAAGCTCTGTTCCAAAAATCTGATTGCTCAAATGCCTCTTACAGGAGGTGGGGGGAAACCAACAGATTTTACAACACAGGGATATGGCCCAAAGCAGGAGACATAGCGTCCCTCTTTTGGCAAATCCCTAGAAACCATCATTTGCAAATTTGGAGCCAAGGCACTGCTTGGTGCATACAAAAGATAGAAGGTTCAATCTGTAGCAACAGCAGGTAGTTCTAGGAAAACCTGTGTGAAACTCTGGAGAGTACTGCTTATCAGAGTAAATAATATTCAACCCTAATAGAACAAGGATCCTAGGCATGTCTACTCAGAAGTGAGTTCAATAAGAATTACCTCTTGAGAGAAGTCTGTATAGGAATGCTTTGATTAAGTTCTGAAATTAACCAAAGTTTGAGAATATACCTAAGAACAGTTCCACCTAAGGTGGTGCCCCTGTGTAATAAAATGACTAGAGTAATAGAATCATAGAGCTGGAAGAATCCTTGGAAGTCATCTAGTCCAAAGCGCTGCTCAGCAGCATACTTCATCCCTGGCCTCCTTTCCTTAAAGTCCTCCAGAGAAGGAGGTCTTGCCACCACATCCACCCAGGCTGCAGCGGGCAATCCATTTAGGAAGCATTCAAGATCAGGCAGGCTTTCCAAGCACCCGGCAGGTAGTCTGTAATGACAGTACCTAACCTAAGCATGCCTGCTTAATGAACCCAAGAAAAACCAGATCCACCATGTGGCTGAGTAGGCACCCAACCAGAATCTTATGTGAGTTACATCCCAGCTGACTTCAGGCTTGGTGTGATGCTCAATGAATAAGCTTGTGTTGAAAGACCAATCTTGCATTCATTTTTAAAGTATGAAAGCTTCCTGATTTGCTTAGTTTGATTAGTTTCATTTCATAACACCTGAAGTATTCTGCAATCTACACTCTCAGTCTTTTACCATAAGGATAAATGCATTGCTGAGAATAACTGGGGGTTTCCTTTTCTTTTTAATTCTAGAGAAATTTAATTAGATTTCTTTTTTATTCTAAATAAGAGGCTTAATGCAGATTGGGGCCACTGGACACTAGACTGGGGGACAATTAAAACTTAAAACTATAATGAGGAAGAATTAAAACTTCCCTCTCACCATTCCTCCATGCCTTTGTACAACAGTTTTTTTAAAGTATCCATTTGTAACCACGGAAGACTTTTTCTTAGGAAAAATAAATAATGTCCCAGCTGACTAGGGGAACTGAGCACAGTTCTGAGAAATAAAAACCAGTGATCAGGAGGAAAGGTTTAATTTGTCTCAATTGAAATCAGAGTAGTGCACATTTATGCTACAATTAAATAAATAAATACATCTTCAGTTACACAATTAAAGTAACATGTAGTTTGTTCCTCAGGTGCCTTAACATTATTTATTGATTTAAATTTATATTCCTCTCAAGGAATATAACCCTACAGGGCTCTCTAAGCAAGAAACAACAAGATACAGAGCCAATTTAATTACAGTTGAATCAAACATCATAATTTCTATGTATCCTTAATTACCTTCAATACCAAAGAAAAGTAAAATGCAAATATCTTAAATAAATACATATGCCATACTGGGCAAATCTCAAGGACTCGAGGCTGTTTTATCCATTACTTTTGTCTCTTCTGCTGGAAGTCTGTCTGTTTAAACCATGTTTGAGAGGTTACCTCAAACTGCTGCATGGACTGCTGTGTCACGACTGGTGCTCAACAAGTAGTGGCAGAGAGCTAATGTCAGTTTTTAACAACATGTGACTCACCTTGATCCTCAGGATATTGCAGGAAACAAACTCACTATTACTATTTAATATGAGTCATTAAATTGTCCCCTAGCCTTTGGAGTTTACTTGGGTTTCCTCTTTATATTTAATTCTCATGATACATCTGCTACTGTTCTGTGACTCACAAAGCAACCCTCCCTCTGCCTTATGTGCTTCAAATATCCATTGCTATAACAGCTGTCAAAAGAAAGGAAGTAAAGGGGGAGATGGCTTAATTTAACAAAGCGGCAATTATTGTGGAGTATCTGTGGGCACAAATCACGCTGCTTCCGTCCTGTTAAAGGTTAACTCTTGCACACTTGTGAGTTGATTCACAAGGTGAACTACAAGAAAACTTGGTGAGTTCCCCGAGTGGTGCAGCGCAAGAAGTAAAAACCCTAAATTGCAACATGATCAAACATAATAAAACCTTGAAATTTTTAAAACAGTTAAAACTATTAACAATAAGCTACAATGACCTCAATAGACTATGAAAATTCTATTATCTTATTATGCTGGTGATTCTAAAACCAAGAAGGACTTCCAAAGGGAGACATGGACAGTGACTGAGGAATACTCTAGGCCAGTGATGGTGAAACTTTTAGAGACCGAGTGCCCAAACTGCAACTCAGAACCCACATATTTATCACAAAGTGCCAGCACTGCAATAAAACCTGAAAACTGAGGTTTTAGTTTAGAAAAAACAACTCACAACCAGTCCAAGTAAGTAAGTAATGTGTGTGTGTGTGCGCGCACGCGCGTGCATATATAGTGCACTGACCAGCCACGCGAAAGCTCGGACAAGTCGTGGCTAATGAGTCACGGCTCATGACCTCATCACCTGGCGCCGCTACTCCTTTCCAAGCATGCGCGTGGCCCCTGTGTGTGTTGTTATCCGATGCTCGACTGCTGGGTGACTAAGCTTGCATGCACACAGAGAGGGCTCTGCGTGCCCACTGCGGCACATGTGCCATAGGTTCGCCACCTCTGCTCTAGGCTGCTCCCATCGCAGACCAAAATGCAAAACATTCTAGGCAGGAGTGGGCTTCTTGTGGCCCTCCAGGTGTTTTGGCCTACAAGTCCCATCATCCCTCGTCAATGCCTATGCTGACTAGAGCTGATATAAGTAATAGGCCAACACAATAGAAGGGAGAACAAACTGCCAACCCTCCCCTAGTCCATCAGGCATAAGGGGTTGTGTGCAGCCTACCTGTTGTGCAGATTGCCAAAAAAGAGGGGGATCGAAGGGGTGACTCTTTCTTATTTGGGATCTTGCTGCTTCCGGAGGATCCAAACTTTTCCCTTTTAGCCATCCTGTTACTCACCAAGGTTGGGCTGTGACATTGCCATCGATCTCTGTGTTACTGGGGTCGAAGTAGCTGAAGGATGATGGCTCATGTGATTCAGTGTCTGGGTCATCGTCTTTCGAGGATCTTGCCATGTTGTAATTTTCTCTATATGACTGCAGAACAAAAAGAGGGGAATTTTAGGGAGAGGGAAACTAAGAACTCATCCCAAATATGACCAGCCATTGCATATCACCATACTTTTGCTTTGTCTCACAACGCGAATACCATTTAATGTCCAAAATTGCCACATTCTCTCTTCCATCTTATATTGGTTTACATACCACCAGAGACCTGCTTTTGTACAATAGTAAGCAAAGATACCAACAATATTACCTATTACTGTCGTGTTCCTCTCCAAGGTACCCTTCAAATATTTCTGGCTTTCACTCCCTTCTGACCCACCATTCATGGCCAATGCTCAGGGACAAACTGCAGCTTCACTCAGGCTGCATGAAGTACACAATTACAGAAAAGCAATTGCTATTTACAAGATATTTCTCTGCAGAATTTCAAAATATTTTTAATGTATTTTGTTGCTTTGTTTTTATGAATTGCTGCAAACAACCCAGACAGCTTCAGCTACAGGACGGTATAGAAATGAAAATTTTAGATTCCTCTTAATAATTTAATGCTTATTATTCATGGTAGATCCTGACGTTTCCTCTTCCATTTTAGACTAACATCCTTTTCCTTCTTCTGTTTGTTTTCTGCAGAACATCCTGAGTCCAAATACATCCTTCTAGGTCCTGGCTTTCGACTTTCTTTGCTGCTTATTTTTAACTTCTCCATGCCATGGATCAGCTATTAGGTGGTCCAGAAAATAAATAAATAATTGAGGGTAGTGGTGGATCCATAAACATAACACACTATTCTCCTCTGGCATCATCCTTCACCCCCCCCCCCAATCAATTTAGTTTGTACACCTATACAAATCATTTTAGTTGGTAAATCTGGAGATTGGGACTGACATCTTAAAAACTTCTTATGCAGAGCTTTTGAAAATGCCTTGTAATTGCTAATATTTATGTATTAATACACAGTGCTAATACATAAAATGAGAAGATATTTTAACTTTTACAAGTCATTCAAAGCTCCAATTCACCTTTACCTTATATTTTCAAACCCTGAATCTGAGGTCACTTTCACTTATATGACTCACTTGGCTTTCCTTCCTTTCCACTACTGACTCAGGTTCTCTTCAAAGTGTCTCTCAATCTCACAATCTAATTCTTTCCTATTTTCATTGTTTGAATATCCCACATTCCCCCCCCCCTCATTCTTTCTCTACTCACATTCGTCTAGCCATCAGTATTCTGAAAACCTCTAAATCACAATCCATTAGGAACAGGATTGAAAATAATTGAATATTGTAATGCCTTCATACAAATCCATGGAACAACTGTATGGAAAATACTGTGTACAGTTTTAATTGTCCCATCAGAAAGAGCATTGTAGAGGTGCCGAAAATGGCAACCAAACTGATGAAGGAGCTGAACCAATTTTCTCATGAGGGAGGGTTACATTTCTGTTTAGAAAAAAATGTCAGCAAGGAGAGGCATGCAAGAGACGCATTAAGTACAATGGAGTTTCTCCTTTTTGCTCTTAATAAAACTCAAAGCTGGGTCATCCACTGAAGCTGAATAGAAAGATATTCTGACAGTCAAAAGGAAATAGTTCCTCATATGGCACACAGCATGTGGAATTCACTGCCACTAGATGTGATATGCCGCTGGTTCTTTGGTTGCTGAACAACCCACAGTATGCTCAACAGCTCCGGGCTCATGGAGTTCATTCCTCCACAACCCCTTTAGTCTTCCAGTCAGCTCCGACATTTATCCTTTGCTACGGGACCCATCTTGTCTTCCCCTCTTCATTCTGATCACTATCTGTTTTTCTTCACCATCTGTTCTGTGGGGTTTTGGAACCTAAAAAAGTATAACTGAGCTATTTTTAAATTTTATTTTATTTAGTCCCTACAAATTTGAAAGCTTCATGAAAGGGCAGTCACTGCCCAAATCACAAAAAGTGAGTGGCACAGTCTTTCTTGCCGTTCTTGTCATGTGGCATTGTAGTCAATCGCAACCACCCACAATAAAATCAGGTTCAGATAACGCAACAAGCTGTCCTAGGCAACCATAGAACAAGCCATGGTTTTCTGTGTGTGACTTATTCCTGATAAACAAGATACCTCACAGGAAACACTCTGGGTTTGAATGATATGACAGCCCACCATGGCTGGCTTCCCATGGTAGATTGCTGTGTCATGTGAACCTAGTCTATTTTTTTCCACCTTCATTCTAACAGTATCAGATCAAACATTTCAGCACTGAGAGCTTCACAAACATCTTTTGATGTTTGTTTCCAATTCTGCTCATTGATCCCCAATATATTAATACATGTGGTAATATCAGACTATTTTTCCCAATATGTCATTACAGAAGTTCCATTTTGAAGCAGCATGCGGTATGACTTCTGACACTGCAGTTTAAAACCCTAGTGCTTTTTAATTGACACAATAAAATAAAATACCCCACAAAGTCTCCATATAAGATGTGTGCATTTGATCTATTACATCTGCAACCACACACTCAGTTGCTCTGTTTCAGGTCTATTCATTTCAGCAGCACTGATGCTCTGTTCACATCAGTGAAACTTGGTACAGCACTGTAGTCCAAATCTGTATGGGCAACATCTGCCCACATGTTGACAATTATTTTTAAACTGAATGTGACTTAACATTCTTGGCGAATGCAGCATTACTGAGAGCCGGTGTGATATGGTCATTATAATGTGGAACTGGGAACCTGGGAGAACTGAGTTCTAGACCTCATTCAACCATGAAGTCCCCACATCAGGCCAGTCACTCACTCTCAAGCTCACCTGCTTCACAGGGCTGTTGTTGTGAGGATAAAATGGAGTTATATATGCTGCCTCAAGTTCCTCAAAATAGGAAAATAGGTAGGATATAAATGCAGCAGCAGCAACAACATAGAAAACCTCAGGAACAAGTTATGTAAAATTGATTGATAGTGTTTCACAGTACAGAGAGTGCAGCAAGATGATAAAATTAGATAGCAATAAGGTATATTCCTCTTATGGATGAGATTCCCAATTCAACAGAAATGCACAGTGACCTGCTAAAAATAAAAATGGCTAGTAAAGTGTCGCATTGAAATGCTCAAGTATTGGTAATCCAAACTGACAAGGATTACTAACTTATGCCAGAAGATAAACACTGGTTACAACCCATAGTCATTGCCATATTATAAAATTTAGCCAGTAGTTAAATAGATACATATTTCTCCAAAGTGTAAAGATAAAAATTGCCCATATGGGGTATTCTGGCTTAACATACATTGGTCTATGGGTCTACTCAAACAGATAAATTCACATCAATTCACTTCTGTGTTAAAATATAATCTTTATTGAAATCTAACATAAACAACAGAAAACTAATAAATATAATACTAATATTTAAGAACAGACATTGATGAACAGATGAACTGGGTGTGTTAGATTAAATGAAGTGGATTGATCAAGTGGAGGGAAAAAACCAGGCCAGGCCAGGCCACGCCTTCAGGCTTCATTCTAGAGCAGCAGCCAAGAATGGTTTCCTCCAAACTGGCCAGGAAATCTTCCTAGGCACATTCAAGGAATGTTGGCATCAAGGCCTGGTCCATTACTAACACATACACCAGGAATAAACTTGAGCAATTATAAATACAAGGCCTAGAGGGCAATATAACAGAAAACCTTAGTGCCCAATTGGGGCAGAACACAGGGTGCAAGATGCTTGTGATGCTTGTGTGAAACAGGAATTTCAGAATGTTTGTGTGCCCTCTTTGTTATGGTCGATTGCAATTTCTACATCATCAAAGTCACTTTGGAAATGCTGTCTTAAATCCAGGTTCAGCACCTGTAACCAGAATTCAGCTTTCTGCCCCAGAGTGAATTGAGATCCCAAGTGTAGCTAAATCTTTTGTTGGATGGAATCTTACCTCCACCTATGGACAAAATCCAAAGTAATGGATACTTCCAAGAAATGACAACGAGGACAAATGAAATTGTTTTAAAAACATTGCCACTTAAAAAGCTCCCATTGTTTTCAGCAAGGCCTCTGTTTCCCCTCCTGCTCTTGGCATGCTACAAATGCCACAGAGCCAAGTGCTATCGACTCTTTTGGGAAACACATTTGTCACAACACTCCCTGCTGCAGCATTTGCTTTCTTGCTCACCAAATTAGAATGGAAGGAACTGCAGAGCCTGTTTTTTCCCCTCATTGTTTTGCCAACCAGTGTTCCACCCCTTCATGTAATTTAGTGCGTACCCACTGGAGATGCCCTGCCCTAAAGGGCTTTTAAGGGTGTGTCTTGCCAACTTCTTCCCGTCCTTTCTTACCCATCAGCTCAATAACAAGCCAAGCAAAGAAAGGTGAATGAGCTACACAGTGTGGGTTGTTTGAATGACATGCTGGGCAGACACTGGACAGGCATTGAGCCAGGACTTGTTCTTGCCTTCCTTCACTCTTGGCCTTCCAGCTGGTGTGCACATGTCTTTCAATGAAGAACCCCATGTTGTGTCCCTCTCTAGCAAATTTAAGCAGTATTGTAGGACTAGGAAATATGCAGCCATGAAATCAGTGTAGATTTTCCTGCCCAAAAAACTGCTGAAATTTGGTAGATCAGTTGAAAGAAAAGAGCAGGAATGGGTTGCAGTCTTTATTCTGCAATTATGTTTTTGTTATATTTTAATGTATTGTTGCTTTAATCTATTTTCATTATTTTTGTAAGCCACTTTGTCTGCTTTTCTGGTGGAAAGAGGAGATGTAAAACAAACAAATGACTATTCAGTGCTATTGCTAAGCTATGGTTAACATCAACAAGGAGAGAAGAATAAATTCAGGCTGGGGAGGGGAAGGGATGGGAGCATACAACTCCAAAACCTGAAAAACTGAGCCAGACCACTAGCCCATCCAGTCCAGGGCCTAAAGAGATGTCAATTCAAACGTGTGTCTGACAGTTACAACTTTTCTCATGCCTAAGACCAGATATGGGACCTCCAATCTGTATCTTAACCCCCCATCCTCCACACTAGGGTCTTTACCAGATCAAGT